GCGTTGCTTTGCTTTTTTCTCCTCTAGCATTTCCTGGTTTCTGGAGCTGGGACTGCAGGAGGAGACTTCTTCTGCCTCACGCAGGGCCAGGTAACAATACACGCCTCTGGAAGGGGGAGGGACAGGCTTCAACCACCCACAGAGGATAAGATTATTTGCTTTTGTGGCACAAGGCTCACATGGCTTTGTGTACACACACACCCTTTCCCTTACAAGGTCAAGATTCCAGCTCCTCAGCAGGAAATCAGCTGGACCGTATCTCAGGGCAAAGGTGGGGCCCATGAGCCACCATCGCTCTGACGTGGCTTTGCTGACACAGGGTCAGCTCTCTCCAGCAGGACCTGCCAGGTCTTTGGGCGTGACTGTGCAGATCAGCAGCACAGTGAAGAAATAAAGGAATAAGAACCTCCCATCTTTTCCTTCAGGACTCAGGCCTAAGGCTGAACGCATGCAGCCCTGTGGTTCGTGAGAAGAGGCAGCTAGTGGATTAAGTGGCCTGAGCCCAACTAGATCTTGTGTCCAAAGATTATGAAGCCTGAGAGCCCTAAAATATCAGAGACAGAAAGTGCCGCAGGGAGGAAGCCTAACCCCTTCATTTGCACATGGGGAAACTGAGGTCTACAGGCGGGACACTTTCCCAAGATGTCACAGCTCTTGCCCCTTAACAGTAACTGCCACTCCCTAGGAAAAGGCTCTGGGAAGCACGATGGTGCTAAGGACCCAGCTCCATGAATGCCCCTCTGGAAAAGCCCTGTGGAATGTGGGCTGGCGAACAAGGTCTCCTCTGTCACTTGTCTGCTACCCCCAGGTGTCCAGGCTGCTGGTACTTCCTTAGCACAGCGCGCTAAATACATGCTCAACACTGCAGAAGGAAGATGCCCACGCAGCTGCACACGGCTTTTCACTTTGAAAAATCTTACACAAAGCTAAATGGGCTCAAAGCTGGGGGAACACAGTCAGCAGTTGACAGTGAGGCACCATCGCTGCGCTCTGGGTTTTGGTGAGTGTGCCCTGGTTCTGAGATGCTAACATGAAGGAAGCGGGCAAAGGGGGTGAAGACACACTCTGTACTGTCTTGGCTGCTCTCTGTGAATCCAAAGTTGTTTAAAAAATTACACAAGGTCACGCATGGCACCCCATTCCGCTGCTTGCTCTCAGGTGACCTGCCCCCTACTCTGAGGACTATGGGCTCCCAGTAGAGGCAAAAGCACAGAGTGATCACTTGGCAGCAGAGAAAAAGTCAAAACAGTGCTATTTAAATTTTTGATTTTTAAAACCCATATCAATGACTGATTATAAAAGCACAGTTCCTTAGCAGGTGAAAGGAGTGCTGAAAAGAGACTTAAGAAAGGGATGGCAGCACAGATCAAGTTCCAGCAGCACACAAGCCCACCGGGGTGTTCCCCAATTTTCCTGAGAGCTCCCAAAGACTCAATAAAAATCTATCATTTCCCCTTCCTTAAAGCTTCCACTTAAATTGATTTTACTAGAAAATGTCCTGGTTCAGGAAATTAGAAAATGAAGCATCGCCCAACTCAGAAAAAAGACAGAGAAAGCAAAAAAAGCCCCCTTGAGAAAATGTCACTGGCTACAAACACCTCCAACAACCAGGCTTGCTGGGACAGGGTGGTCAACAAGCCTCGAAGCCTCATTTCCGCTCCACCTTCTGTTTCCTGACAAACAGTAACCCTTTCCAGGCATCCTCACTCTGGGAAGTCTGAGGTCCAGAGAACCCCTCCAGCACAGGGTGTCATGGGTTGGCGACAGCACCACAGCACAATTCCGCATGACAATGCCCCCGCCCCCCATGGTCCTTTCTCGACATCTCATCCAAAAGCTTTGACAGAGGTCACCAAAAAACTAGATTCTGACACCTCAGGGACATTGCCCTACTCCATCCAGACAATACATTTACACCAGCGATTTCCCACCTTTCTCATCACACGGCACCCATAAACTAATTACTAAAATTCTGCGGCACACCAAAAATACATATATTTTTGCCAATCTGACAAAAAAGGCATAATTTTGATTCATTCACACCAGATAGTCATTTTTAAATTTGACAGTCTAAGGGAAAAAAGGTCAGTGCCCCTAAGTAGTCAAGGATTTCATATTCTAAAAATTCTGCGGCTCACCGGTGGAAAATCGCTGGCCTACACTGTACAAAATAACAAAATCTGACATGGCAACAGGAAGACCGGAGGAGCAGCCGGAGCAGAAGCGAGGAGTCAAGGCCACGGTGAGACCAGCTCAAGATGTGTGTCCCCTGCCACTTCACCTTCACATCCCACACCCCCAGCTGCCTCACAACACACTTCCTGCCCTGAACCAGGCGCCCAGCAATTTCTCTGCTTACCTCCTGTTTCATCTCCCTGCTGAGATGCCAACGCATCTCTAATAATCAAGCTAACCTATACCAATAAAGGCCCAGGGCATCCAGGTAAGCAGATAGCTTATGTGCTCTGCGATCAGGCCACCACCAGGAGGAATGTTTTTGTAAGTGCTCAGGCAAGGCCATGATGCAGAAAAAACACACAGCCTCCCACCCAGAGGCTTCTCCCCACCCAGACCTCCTCCTCTGTAGTAACCCTCCCCCCTCTGGAAGTTCTCCAGCTGAGATCCAGGACAGGACACTGCGGGCTCCAAGCTGGCTACCCTGCTTCCTCTTTCATAGTCCTTCCTGCCTCCAGGAACCATCTCTGACCCCACTCACAGTGTCTCCCAAGACATTTTCACTTTCAAGTCCTGCATCACTTTATAATAAGCAGGTTGAAAACGGACCTCATTAAAAAGCAAAGTAACATAAATGAAAAACCTGCTTCCACTCCCCATTTCCTGCCTCTGCCCTTTCTCCAGCACCCCATCCTGAAACTTTGCAGTCACCTCCTATGCCCTTCTCTCATTCATCCCACACTTCCAGCTAGGAAGAGGTGACACCTTGCTTCCTAACCACTTTTCATTCCCAGCACGCGGTCTCCCAGTGCAGGCCCACACAACTCACACCAGTTGCCCCCCTAGATGTGTCTTCCACTGTGAGTACCACAGCACTTTAGCCCACTGCCCCTGCAAAGAAAGCCTATGGGACTTCCCATAGCCAACTCGATCACGTTTAAACTCCTCCTAATGGCTTCCAATGTCCCCAAATGGTTCCTTAGTCATCACAACCACTATCTGAGGTAACCACTAGTATCCCCACTTCCCAGATAAGAGAGCTCAGGTTTAGGAAGGTAGGTAACTAGCTTTGATTGCAAAGCTACTAAGTGGCAGAGGCAGCACTCAAACCCAAGCATCAAGCTCCAGGGCTTACATTCTATAGTGCTTCCCAGCGTGGCCAAGCCAGACTCCAGACTAGCCATTCACACCCTGCTCTCCTGATGTGAAACGCTCTCTTCTCCCCACCAAACCATCTGAATATGACCCAGCATTCATGGCTCACCTGTATGTCCCACCTTCCACAAAGCTTTCCCTCGCTTCTCCATCTCTCATGGCTGCCACGTTTTAAAATCATTTGACCCATATGGTCTATACTACATAGCTGAGTGCCTGAAGACAAAGAGTCAGTCCGTCTGCATGGACACAAGACACAATAGGCACCCAGAAAACATCTACTCAACTCAACTTTCACAAGTTAGCTCACATGTATTCGTGTAGTTCCCTCAAATTGGTGCTGAGATGCCAGGGAGCAGGGATGGGGCTCCCCACTTCCCCATACGCCCTTGCCAAGTCTAGCACAGCAGCTGACGAAATCTTCTACGAGATAACCAGGGCCGGAAGACATCCTTCAAGACCCTGCTGTTCAGTGTCTCTCAACTTCTTTTCTTGACGAGACCCATTGTCAGCCTTCCTCTCCAGGTCCTTTTCACACTCAGGTACCTAATACACTATCTCTAAAATTCTGGCCTTGTTGGAGACCCCAGGCCCTTGGGAGACTTTTCACATGCAAATGGAACAGACTGTCGCCTTAGGGTCAGCTTGGATTCTTTAGGTCCCTTCTAAATTAATTTCAATTTCATGAGTGATTTAAAATATCAGATGTATTTCCTAGAGAAACTAAAACCACCTTTTTGGAAAGCCAAGCCCAGAGCTTGTGGCCATAATCCAAATGGCTATAAGTCTTGCTTTCCTTCACTACAAATGAATATTCATAACCATTTCCCCAGGGACCTCTTCCAAATAAGGTGAAATCTGTGGAGACATCAATTCTCCTGAGAAAATAGCTGGAAGACTATTCTGCAGGGCTCTTCAAGGCCAAATGTCACCATTGTCTTACTGGGACATTTACATAATGCTGCTCTTTGCCTCTCTTCCCATCTCTACTGTCACTCTCTTGGTGACCCTCACCCTGTTTCAAGCTTTAGAGACAATGAACATATGAACAATTCCAAGTCCCTATCTCAGCCCAGCTGAACTCCAGACTTAGGAGAAATGCCTGCTTGACACCTCCACTTGGGTATTCAGTCAGCATCTCGTGTGGGGTGGCTAACACCAAGCTCCTGATCTTCCAGTGACTCTCACTTGTAGTCTTCCCATCTCAGGAAAGGCGCTCAGGTCAAAAACTATGGAGTCGTCTTCAACAACTGTCTTTTCCCCACTCCCCACATTTGATGCATCAACAAGGCCTTCAAAGCATAGTGAGACTCAGCCCTTCTCGCTTCTCTGGTCTGGCCTCGGCCATCTTTCACTGACTGCAGCAGCCTCCATGGTCTTCCTGCTTCCATCCTTAGCACCCACACTCTGCTCTCTACCCAGCCACTCCAGGGACAGGCTAGTGTGTTCATTCTCAGTCCAACACTCTCCAGTGACTTCCCTGTCACTCAGAGTGATAGCCAAGGCCTTCACACTTAGCTGTCACTGACATGCCCGTTACAGGTTTATGGGTGTTTGTTTCTTTGGACACACCTCTCCCACCATCGTGCCCACTTTGTTCTAAAGAAGGAACAGGAGCCATGGGAGATGACGGGATTTTCTTTGGGGTAGGACAGAAGCACCAACTGCTGTTTGTCCAGGGCTACTCTCTGCCACCCTCCCACCCGAGTCCCCTGCCAACCAGACCTGCCTCCCATAACAGAGGCCGAAAATGCCAGACCCTCGCCTTTCCAGATTTCCTCCCCACTAGGGCACGGATTCTGCGGGAAATCAACCAGGCACTACAAGAAAAGGTTTCTCCACCTAGTGCAGAGATGGATGCCAGGGAAGCCTCCTCTGTCTTCAATGGATATAACTGTGTTTGTAAGCGTTGCCTGAGTGGCTGCAGCCACACCACACATAAGAAGATAGAGAGCCGAGAGATGGGAGCCACCCAGGTCACCAGGGACAGGGAGCCACTGAATTAACCCTGGAAGTGCCCCACTCAATTTCTGGATACCCCTGTTCTTTAAGTCGCTTTTCATGACATACTGTATTTGAACAAAACTCTGCCCACTGATACGCATACCCAGACAATAAAACAAAATTAAAATGAAACTCAAGATACTAAGTGACACAGGCACTTGGTTCAAGGCACCTGGAACTACCCTTTCAGAATGTGGGGCTGTTGCCAATCATCCCTGTCACTATGCATTGCCCTTCCTCCTCCAGCAACCCCTCCCTCCAGCCAGCACCCACCCATCCTTCCCAGCCCAGCTGAGGTCCTGCCTCCCAACCACCGAGAGCAATTTTCTCCTTGGCTGCAGGACAGGAGGCGCTCACCCATTGCGTTGCAGGATCTCATCTCCTCGATGACAACTATTCATATGCTCTCACGCCTCCCCCAATGCAGAGCACCCTTTGGCCTCTTGGGCCCAATGCTGTGCCTTATGAATGGCAGGCATACAATAACTATTGATTCCTTCCATTTCTGTGTACTCTTTCCTGGTTTTACTCTGGTTTCCTACATGTTCCATTATTTTCCCTGCTATGATAAATTATCAAACACCAAACTGCAAAATTTAACTTTTTTCCCCAATGCTGTCTTTTAATGCTTTTTGTGGCTCTGGCCTTTGCGCTCAATGTCCGTGACATGGCCACAGCAGCTCCAAGCAAGTGCCTTCCCCCAGCAGAGCAATCCTCCAGGCCACACATCCTGTCACACGTGCCTTCCTCCCCACTCCTCCAGGTGGACAGCTGGGTTCCTATGAGGATGGGTGACTGCTCCAGAACCCCTGGAGCCCACATTACTTTTCCCATTAAGCACTTCTCCCTCCCACGCCAGCCCCATAAGAGTTAATAAAACAGCAATAGAAAGAAGAGGGGAGGCAAGCACTCCGTGTGACTCTTTATGGACCTGGAGCAGAATGACCACAAATGGAGAGAACTTGGGTGAGCAGAGAATTCAAGAAAACACCTCCAGGTGTGGTCCTTCAGCAATGTGGTGAGATGGGAGGGAAGGCCAGCATACACAGCCCTACCTTACAGATGCCAGGTGACAACCAGCACGCAGCATGGCTGGGAGGCTGAGGATTTTACAATTACTCAATTTATCCTGTCTCATGGAGTCACATACAGTAGGTAACTAAGACTGAAAATAGTTCAGCATTACAAATTTTGCTACCTGTTCAACTCATGCCCGAGTTCCCACTTAAGAATTAAAAATTAGAATCCGGGCAATGGAAAGGGACTTTCACTCTCTCAATCCTCTCTCATTTTAGTTAAGATTTTATTTTTCTTGTAATCTGTATAAAGGTAATCTCTTCTCCCGTGGTCCAAAGCACCAGCTGGGTGCCTGGGTTCAAATCCTGGCTCCCCCACTTCCTAGGTGGATGAGTGTGGTCTCAGTGTCCTCATCTGTAAATCAGAGACAATAAGAACACGCACAGGGCTGTTGGGAGGCATAAACAAACTAATGAAGTGCTCAGAACAGTGTAGGAAGCACAGAACTCAGACATGTTAGTTATTAGCAGTAACAGTTGTGCTTTTCCCTTCCCCGTACTTTTTTTTTCATCCTACCAATATCCCTGAAGATCCATTCACTGTGTAAAGTCTCCCATCCTCTAATTCAGAACCCAACCAACTGAAGGAAAGGACAGGAGCAGCTGGCATTCCCTTAGACCTACTTGGAACCAGACCAGGTGCTCCCCTGTGAAGCAGGTATTATCAGCCCATTTTATGTACAGGAAACTAGAGACTCAGGAGAGGATCTCCTGCTGAGGTCCCAACCAGCATAAGGTGGAGGTGGGATTTGAATCCATAGGTCAGGGGCAGAAAGGTGGCCCACAACTTCCTCACGCTCACTCCTAGGCCCACTCACCAGAGTCTTTCCTTTTAAAACCTACCATTTAATGGGTTTTCAGAAGAAACTTGGAGGGGAGGAACAAAACAAGAACTGTGAAATTTCAATCAATCAACTTGAATATATTACAAATAACTTATCTTTAGTCATTATGCAAACAGTCAAGGCTCAACAAACTAAAAATGTATTTTAATGAGCAAACCATGAGTTCACGTGCATGCCTGCTAGGCTGTAAGCCCAGTGACTCACACACACCCAGGAGCATGCTGGCTAGGTCACCAATACCCTTCCCAGGGCAAACAGAACAAGGAAGCAGGCCATGCACTGGCCAACGCAGTGCAGTCCAGTGGTTAAGAACCAGGGGTCTGGAGGCCGACTGCCTGGGCTGGAAGTCCCCTTCACCATGACCAGCAGCGTAACCTGGAGAGAGTCCCTTTACCCCTTAGGACCTCTGGTTCCTGAACTGTAAAATTCTGAGCTGCCTAGGGTTTCTGTGACAAATGATTTACTACATGAAAGCCCTTGCTCAGTCATTGCCACTGTTATTGAGCAGCAACAAGAGTATAATGTCAAGTGTGGGCTCTGGAGCTGACTACCTGGGGTTCAGTCAGCTCAGCACCTTACTAGCTGTGAACTTGAGAAACTCATTTGACTTCTCTGCACCTCAGTTCCCTCATCTATCAAATGAGGATCAGAAAAACTTCTTCACGGGGAGGGTGGCTGTGAGGATTACATGAAATGATGTATACAGAGTGTTTACAACAGTACCTGGTACAAAGTAAACACTGTATTCTCTTATCAGTCCTAGCAAGACACAATCCTAAGTAGTTCTATGGTTGCAGGACAAAAATACTAACCAGGCCTGGTGCTCCCTCAAGCACTGGACACTCAGGAAGCCTGCAACACAGAAACCACGGCAGGGCTCCACTGTGCTGACTGGTCTGTGCCACCCCTTTGCTGCGGGAAGAAGGGGAGTCTAATTAATATACTTCTACACTTAAATGCCCCAGGATGAAAGAGACACATAAAATACACTCTTTTTGACAAAAAAAAAAAAAAAAGGTTGTAAGCAAGACACACATAAAACGCCAACCTTATTTAAGTTTGCAGAGAAATGCTACAGTAAGAGCAAAACAACAAATGAGCCTGAGAAATCTCAACCACATATGTGTAGCCGGCAGCTCGACAGGAAGCCCAGGCATTGTCAGCTAGGAATAAAGTTTGCGGGAAACTTGAATATAAGTCTTTAAGAACTGGAAACGTTTTATTCTGACTGGTTTGGATGGCACTCTCTCCTGTCCTTTCAAAAAGAGTAGGCTGGGCTGCACATGAGCAGGGACCTGCCCACCACAGACCCGGCACTGATCCCCTAGGCCCACTGAACCCATAGGCCCTCCATTCTCCCCCACCCCAATCTTCCTTTAGCTTCTCTTCCTGTTCCTGTAGCTTGTCACCCTTCTCAGCACTGGGCTCTCAGTCACATCTGACAAGAGCACTTTGACCCCACCAGGCACGGAAGTCCAGTACACCCTTCAGATTTTTGGGCTTGTTTTCTCCTAGGATTTTTATTTGCCAAAGACTTTTCCTGATTCCTAGGTGAGTGCCATTCTGTCTCCTGGACGATGGCTGGCTGACCTCCAGATAACCACATCCACCCTTCGGCCCCCTCCTCAGCAGACCCTGGACGCAGGGCTTCCAGGAGCACCCATGCTGCCTACCACTGTACAGCAGGACAGACTGCCACTAAGTCACCTAACTGACAGCATGGGACCCCAGCAAGGGACCTGGACTGAGGTCTTGGCTAAGGCCCACCCACATCCAACCCCCTGCCTCTCTCTGTCCTATGAAAAGGTTTAACACCACCACACACAACCCAGGGCTGCCCTGCAGACCCAAGGAGACAGATTTGTGGGACAGAACCTACAACATGCTGGTTGTCACGCCGCCACTGGGCTACAACTCTGCACAGCTCCAGAGGCACCCAACCTGCAGTATCGCACGTGGTGCTAGTCACGTATCCCACAAATGAAGAAACAGTGCCGCTGAAGTGGGGTAGAGGCGGTAATGCAGACCCACCTCCGCCTGGGTCTAATCCAAAGGCCTTGGAAACACCTATGGAGCAGGGGCGCTGGGTGCTAGTCCGGTTTCCTACACTGTGCTAAGGTCAGACGCTTCTGAGGACGCAGGAGGAAGAAACTTTCCTCCCATCACACGTGTTTGCATTTGGGTAACAGCCTGGATTTCGCTTCCCGACGTCCGCAGCGGGAGAAGTCGGCAGGGGTCCGATGCAAACCCTCGGGGCCTCCAGCACCCAAGTGCACGGAGAAGCACGCAGCCTGCGCGGAGGCTGCCCTGGAGCGCGGGCCCCCGCCCCCGAGCCCCTGCCGCCGACGCTGCCGCCGAGGCTCCGCGGTCCTTCCCGACTCTCCGCAACTCCGCCGCTGAACTTCTTCCCAGGTCCCTCTCCTCTCGGGATACCCCCTGAGGGGCACCCAGGGGCCGCCGCGTCAAAAGCAAGCGTTAGGGGTGGCGTCTGTGGGGCCCTGGACAGGTTTTTCCTCATTAAATCATAAGCCCTGAACTTCACAGAGGTACTGAGGCCCTAAGTCAACAGACTAAAACTCTTCGGCCTCGGGATCCCGGAGACCTGAAGGGTGGCAGGCTCCCAAGGCGCCAGCATCCCCAGAAAGCCATCGCGAGCACCTCGCTTAGACCGGTGATGGAGGGGCCCCTGACCCGGGCCGGCCCAGGAGAGGGGGCGAGGGGCTCCAGGGGAAGGAGGAGTCACCCGGTTCCGCTGAGCGAGCAGGGCCGGAGCATCCCGAGGGCCTCCCGGGCGCGCCCCGGCCGAGGCCGCTCCCGGACCCCGGACCCCGGCTCCGCTGCTTCCCCCAGCCGG